ATATCTTTTGAATGACGACCTTGTTTTAGGTGTCAGCACTTTCCATATGTTAATAATACAGCCTGCTCTGATTTTTTCATGAGAACTTAGAAATTTGGGGACTTGTTTCTTTATTTTTAAATGTTAGCAAGGTAGTTAAAAAAAAAAGAAGCACTTATTTTAAAACCCAGCATGTCTGTGGGCTGGATTTGGCTTATGGCTTGTGGTACGTGGTCTTTGAGCAGCACGAAAACCAAATGATGCCTTTGTGCAAATTAAGGAAGGCATCTTTCTCTATATTTCCCACCATCTGAAGGGTAACTGTCATATTACACAGACATACCAGAGAGGACTGTGATGAACATGGCCCTACCACGGTTGTGCAATGTGGAGTTTGCACAAGTTAGCAGCCTCGTCTTTGAACAAGAATACAGGGTGGGAAGAAGACAGGAAAACAAGAAATAGTAAGGGCAATGTGTTTGTGAGTCAGCTTGCACTGACCCCTCAAAGCTGCTCATGCATATCTTGCCCCAACTCTGCTCTCACTAATGTCATGTTGGAAGCTGGAAATCAATCATGCATGTTTGGAGTATTTACATCATGGAAATTGGTAACAAATCAGGGCTTTATCCTCCCAGAGAGCTGGTTGTTAAACACTGGTGAGGGCACAGTGGGACGAGATCACATCCTGGAGGGCTGAGATAACCCTGAAGGATGTGGGTTTAGACTATAGGCAAGGAAGAGATGACACAGTGACCTAATCGGAACTCCTCTGCATTCCTGGCCTCTTCAGACCTAACTAAAACTTGTTTTCCTTTGACAAGATGACTTCCTTTGCACCCCCCTGGGGCAGAAGATGTTCATCCTCACTTATCTTTGATCAGACACAGAAGAAAGAAGGGAACAATATTCTTTTGTCCCCTTACTGGCTCTTGCAACCATTAACAATCCCTTCTCCTTTGACACACCTGGTATGTTGCCCAAACATCCTTTGCTTGACCACTGAAACTTAGCAGTTACTGTTCATTTTCCCAAATGAGAGTTTGGTGCCTCCCTCCCACCCTTCTCATCAACTCTAAGGTCATCAGTTTCTTGGGAGACTCTGCTCATGTGGATGGTCCAGCATTCTAATCTCATGATCATAAACTTTGTCAGTGTCAGGGATACCTCGCCTTAGATCCACTTCAGACACACTCACCTGCAGCCATATCCTGTATTGCAAAGCCAACTTAGGAACTGTTGTATCTTTGAAATGTGGTTATGATGACACTGCAAGCTTGAATTAAAAGGGTTAAGTGACATAATGTATGGAAAGTATCTAGAAAATGCCTGGCATTTAACAGGTATCCAATGAATATTTCTTTTCTTGCCTTTCCAAGACAAGCATAATTTTGAAACTCTGGTATTTCTTCTCCCTTTATTTTAGAGTGTTATTGGAATTTGACGTAAATGTCTGATGCTTATATAGTAAATCCTCTGCTAGGTGACATCCTTAGAGATCTGTGTTCTCTCTAGCACTCAGGAGCTGCTGGCATCCAATATTATGGGTGGCAATTGTGCTAACATGCACAACACAATACCCACCCTTTTAATTACAGAACATTCTTGCAGTAAAGTGACACTGATTCTCATCTGATTAATATTTATAGTTTTCAGTTTTGGCTAAATGCCAGCTATCTTCATCATGTGAGTTTCCTTGGCTTCTCAGCTCCCCTTTGCTGTGTCTTTTCCTTTAGCTTATTTGTGTGAGTATATATTTTTGTTCTGCCCAGTTCAAGAGTGCTGTGGATTCTTTAAATTGCAAGCTTTCTATCCATGAGGAATTAAAAAAAAATTTTTTTTTCATGAGGAATTTTTAATGTGCAGTTGTAGCTAAATATAAGTAATCAGTGATGAATTTCATGTGACTTTTAAGAAAACCACTTGAATGCTTACATTTGTGGGGGTGCAGGGAAGTGTCACCATGCACCATAACTTTGATTTTTGCTCAATAATTGGTTCTCCTGATTAATAAGTTAAAGGAGCATTAGATATCTCTCATCTCTACCCTCCTTTTGGTTGTATTTATAAATCTTCCATTTGCTTAAGACTCAAAAATCTATATTCTGACATATGGGCCACATCTGAAGCAGCTAGTACTAAGGAATTTATATTTTTTCCAAAACTTTTGCAAGTGTGGGAATGTGTTGGCCATAGTAATAGTTATGATGCACAGTTTGTTACATATTACTATTGAAAAATATCCAAATTCAGAATGTATCAGAGGTGAAATTATTTTCCCTGAAGCAGAAAGACCATACATATTAAGGATTTCCTCTTCAAAATCTCTTTATCATCCATTTCACTACCAGTGGCACCTATCTAATATGTCCTCATTATTTTGTGCTTTGACAATTTCAGTAGCAACCTAAATGCTTTCCTAGACGCCTTTTCATCCAGACTCACACTCTCATGCTTGATGCTGTTCAGCAGTAGCCCACTCCCCAGGGCACTGTTTTTTAAAAGTATTTCAAGGGTAAAGAGTAGCGTTCCCAGCAGTGCCTGGTGGGCAGGGTTGTGGAAAGGAAGCAGGATGTCAGAGCCTATTCCTATTTCAGCTAGGGCAGCTGAATTTTGGTCAATTTCATTGTATTTGAGTTTCTTGCAAGATTCAGCTTAAAACAAGTGTTCTGCTCTTGAAAAACTATTGGCCTTCAAGACAAAGTCCACATTGTTGGCACGATACTCACGTCTCTTCTCCACATGCCTCCACACCACTGGTCCATCTTCCTCTGTCTTCTCCCTTGTTTGGCTCACAGTGAACTGTTCATTCATTCCTTAAACAATATGTCTTGAAGCCTTTGCTCATGCTGTGATTTCTTCCTCTGGAGTTTCTTCCTTACTAGGAGAATACATTGTTCAATTAACAACTGTTTTAGAGCATCTGCTATGTGCCAGGTCCTGATCTGGGTGCTGGGGATGCCTACTAACTCTTCATGGTCCAGTTGATGACATCTGTGCATCACCATCTAGATAAAAATCATCTGATGCTGCCTCTATACTTCCATGACACTTTGTTCTACTGATAGTATTTTCTAATTAATTACATTATGCTCTGATTTTTTTGTGTGTGTGTTTTTCTTTTTGAGACAGATATCCTACTTGTGGGTATATTTCCCCCTGTCTAAATTGTCGATTATGTGCCCAAGAAATGTTTGTGGGGTAAAAGAATAAAGAGTTAAAAAAAAAATCAATTTAGGACTTCCCTGGTGGTCCAGTGGTTATGAATCCTCCTGTCAATGCAGGCGACACAGGTTTGATCCCTGCTCCAGGAAGCCTCCAAATGTTGTGGGGCAACTGACCCGGTGTGTCCCAACTCCTGAGCCTGTACTCTAGAGCCCGTGAGCCGCAGCTAGAAAAAAGCCCGAGCAACACAGTGAAAGGTCCCACATGCTGCAACTGAGACCTGATGCAGCCAAAACTAAATAAATATTTTAAAAACTCTATGTTCCCCTGTTGAACAGTGAGTACCATGAGCGAGGGGTCTTTGTCTAGTTTGCCTTACACATGGCAGGTGTTCAATGATTATTTGTTGAACTGGTGAAGGGGTCTCATCTCTGTTGTGAAGCCAGCAGCTGTTGAAGTGGGAATAGAGAATATTAAGAGCATTTTGAGGTGCTCTTGGTGGGGAAAGCGGCTCTGCTGGGTGGTTGGTGGGGTTGAAGGTGCCCTGAAAATCCCCTGAACAGTCTGTAACAATCTTGGGGTACTTATCTTTTGGTTTCAGTTATCTTTTCTACAAAAGATTCAAAAGTTACTTCCGAATGATGTCATGATTCCGTCTATTCGGAAGTAACTTTTGAATCAAAGAGCATGCCTTCTAAGAACTCTTACCTTTAATTCTGGAAAATTAAAAAAGCAATTTTGGATGGATAGATTTTTTTTAATCTTTTAAGCAAGTTTATACATTACACACTTGTTTTTCTTTTTCCTTCATCTCATGAAAAGCACATAGATATTTTTATGGTTGACTTTTTTCTCTTATATTAAATGATAGGAACAACAAATAAATGTAACAGTAAGTTTTGAAATTTTAATCACAAAATTAGCCTAATTCATGGTGTTCATATCTAGAAATCATAAAAGTGTGGGAGAAATTTATTTGATGAATATGAGATTTTAGTTGGAGAAGTTATAGAGGGTCAATATCACAAACATGATTTAGCATAACTTTAAATATGGATTTTGTTAAAGAAAAGAAAAATGACTGTAACAGAAGACTGGGGAAAATTTGAGGTTAGTAGACAATGTAACAATTTCTTCAACACCAAGGGTTGACTTGAAAAGAGGACAAATTCTGTTTCTTCAGAAAGCAGAACTGCAGGAAGTGGGTTTGAGTTACTAAGTTAGTCAAAAAAAGACTGTTGGTTCCTCAAGGGCTGCCAGCTTCTGGAATGAGATCTATTCTAGAAAGATTTGGGGGTATTCTTGACTCAGAAAGCTTTAGAAACATGCTAGGATTTTATCTGGCTGAAAGTGTTTTAGATGGTGGTCTGGGAGGGAATGGGGGCATCCAGTTTGGGAATCTCAACTTTCTACTGCTTCTGTTACTCTGCAAAGGAATAAAAGCAGTTGGCCAGCACAGAAAGAAAAAAGAAAAACAGATATGAGTTGTGATTAAAGCTGAACAACTCCTTGGCTCTTTGTGGGCCGTGTTAGGTTTAGGTGGGGCAGTTAACTGTTCCTTGTTTATGATTGACCTCTGTTGGTGCAGCTGGTGTCCTTGATCAGTTGCGGGATGGTGTGGAGATGGGCAAGGACACAGCACAGATTTTCCTGGAAGTTTCTAAACCAGAGAGCATGACTTGGATCAAATATAATCCCAGTGGCCCTGTTCTCATCTGCAGCCTAGCTCTGCCCCCTGCTGTCGGCTGCATCACTCACTACTATGCTTCTCCTGTCTTCAAAAATTGTGTTGAGTGCAAAGAATAGGAGTGGGTGGAGGAGGAATTTCAGGATTTCTTGGGGGTTTTTATCTCCAGAACTATCCCCTACATGGAAAAGCAGCCCATTCAGGTAAGTCCAAAGAGCAGGTGTCACTCATATTCTGATCTCCAAGGCTCCCCCCAGTCTTGGCGATGGTCTGCAGACCAAAATGTCAGAGGAGAGGTTGGGAAGTTATCTGAGACTTGGATGGTAGGCTGGAGCCCAGGAGGTTCTACCCGTGATGCTGACCCCATTGCAGCTGCCCAGAGATTGCAGGGCGCTCTGAACTGTGTTGCGCCCGCAGGGACTGGCTGAGCGGGCCAGCTCCCTGAAGAGGCGGAGGGCGGCACCCACCGCCCCCCCATTTCCCGCCCCCGGACCTGGCCCACGCAGCTCCAGGTAGACGGGAGGGTCGCAGTTCTCGCCCTCTGGGTAAGTCTGCCCTCTGCCCCACCTCGAGATTCCCGCCGCCTCCGCGAGTGGAGGCGGCTCGGGTGCCTTTGCAAAGCCCGAGGGGCAGCGGCGAGGGCCCGCGCCCGCCACGGTGATCGCCGGCCCCCTCCGCCCGGCGGACCTGTTTCAGGGCTGCGGGCAGCGGAGGAGCGCCCAGCTCTCGCCCCCGCCGCAGCCGCCGCCTCGGCAGGGACGAGAAGCACACGCTCCTTAATCCCCCGCCCCCCGTTGCCCCGGCGACGGCCCAGACGAGCAGGTGATGCATTGACAGCGAGCAGATGGTCCCCCGCGGAGGCGAGCGCGGCCCACAATGAGCCCCGCGCGGCGATCCCACTGCCGCCCTCCCCCGCCCGGCCGGCCCGCTGCGGCCCGCATGCTAATGCGGGGGGTGGGGGTGCTGCGGGGGCTGCGGGGGCGGGGCCATGGGGCCGGCGGAGGGCACGCCCCACCCTGCTCTTTGCAGTCCGGCTCACCTCATTTTTCTGAACGCCCTCCCCAAATCCCTGCGCCAGAATAGACACGCTCCCCCGCCCGCCCGCTCCAGCTCTCTTCTAATTCTCCCCAAGTGGTTAATTTCCATTGAACTAAACGCTTAACCCCCTCCTTCCGTGGCCCTTACCCCCATTCTGCAGCCCCTACCCACATCTGCTCCCTGCTGGCATTTAATATTCAATTTTGGAAGACCAGAGGAATGGATTTAGCATCTCACCCCCTACCCCCACCCCGCGCCCGGTCCCTGATTCTAGAGTTGGCCTTGACACTTTCTAAATGTGTACAAACCTATCGTTTATCTCACATCCTTCACCCTCGTGCTTCAGGACGTTTAGGCAAATTCTCTTGGCTTTTCTATCTGAAATTTCAAAAATAAATCACTCTTCTCTTGTAACCACCGTGCTGCCCCCTCCAGGGAAACCTTCCCCATTCACAGTCTCTCCTCCTCCCATTCATTTGACACCCCGCCCTCCTCACCCTATTCACCGCTGTGTGGCAAATTGAGGCGATCTTATAGTAAGTGCATGAAAACTGCTAGGCACTATTCACAATTTTAATACTAAGTTCATAGCTGTCACATAAATTCATTCCCGAGCCTACTCTATAATGGCCAAGAAGGAACTCTGAGGGAAGAAGAAGAAAAAAAATCTGAAGACCCTGTTCTGGTGTCTTTTTTTGATTTGCAGGTGTTTCTTGAAACCATTTCTACAGTAACTGCAGATAGCTTTTTCTAGCTGCCACATAGGGTGCTGAAAGAAAACAACAACAAAAAACCAACCTCCTTTTCATTTTACAGTAGATAAAAAAATGCCAATAAAGGCTTAAAAAAGGGACGGAGGGAGAAAGAGAAAAAGAGACTAGTGAATAAAGTTGGGACAATACAGGGTCACAGAGCTGTCGAACCAATGTCATAGTGTGGCTGTCGGGCAGGACTACAGAAAACTTCTTGTTTCTTGATTTTTATGGAGATTTGGTCTAAGGCATGTAGCACTCTCTTAACAGGTTTAGAACAAGTGGCAAAGAAAGGACTCTTCACAATAAACTCCCTTCTGATGGGCTTTATGCCCACAAACACCTGGGATTTACAAAGAGGCATTGCAGAGGAGAAAAGGAGGGGAGAGGGCCAGGCTATTGTGGGGAAATGATGCCTCATGTACTCGTGGTCCTAAGAGAGGGTCGTTTTATTTTAAAACTTGTCTTGGATGCTCGTGTGCAAACTTACAAGGACAAAAGAAGCATTAGACTCTCCTAGTGGCTCATAATGACTTTTTCAAATGCTTCTAACTCATTTTGGGGCTTCATTTTGATAAGGTTTCAAATTAGAGAATTTTATAGTCACCAGAATTCAAGGAAAATCGACTTATAGGATTTTGAAGGCAGAAAAGTTAAAAACCATTACATAAGACTTAGGGGAAAAAGTGGTTAGAATGTTCACTTGTGGCACATACAACCTTTGCATTTATGTAAACATTTTATGAGCTTTTTTCCTCCAGGAAGGTTAATAATTTTATGCTTATTTCCTTCCAATTTCTTGCTTTTCCTTCATTTTTCTTTTTGAAGGTTTTAATTGTTGTTTTTGCTTCCCTTTTTGGCTTTTTCTTTTCTTCTGCTCTTTGTAGTTTCTTTTCCAATAATTTAGGGAGATAGGTTAAAGAATTACAATGGGTGAAATTTCCTTTGGATAGAGTGGCCAAGTAAAGATACTCAGAGAAGATCTAACCTGTAGAGCAAGTGAAGGACCAGATGGAAGGTCAAGAAAAAGAAGCATGTGTGCAGAGATCCTAAGGCAGAGAAGAGCTTGAAGGGTCCTGGGTCTTTGAAAGAACGTGGTGTGGCTGGCGTACTCTTAAGTGGGAGAAGCATACGTGAGATGACAGAGAGAGTTTAGCCAGGACCAGATCATGGAGAGCTGTGTCAGGCATAGGAGAAGACTGTATTTTATCCGAGAAAAAGTAGGGAGCTATTGAAGGAGTTTAAGTGAGGGAGCTCTTTGATCGAATTTCTGTTTTTAGAAGGTCATTACTGCTGCTCTGTGGAGTATAGCGAGAAGAATGGAAGGAATAGGGAGTGAGGTGACTGGTTGGGAAACTGTTAGGAGGCTGTTGTAATAATACAGATAAGAAATAATAGTGTCTGGATAGCATTAATGGAAATGAAGAGAATGGATGGATTTGGGATCTACTTTAGAGAAACAACGATGGGACTTGATGGATGGGACCATGTGAGTGAGGTGATGAGAGAAAGGGAGGAACCAAGGAGAGAGGATGTAGGGCTGAAGAACTTGGAGACAGTGATCGTAGTGTGGAAATAGGGGAGAGAACAAAGATGGGAGACAGGCTTGAATAAGGGTGTGAGGCAAGAAATCTGTTTCAACATGTTGTTTCTGAGCTGTTATTGAGAGGCCAAATCAAGATGGTAGGCTTAGGGACAGACACCTAAGAGGCCCTAGGCCCCCTGTTGGGCTTCCCAAGTGGCAGTAGTGGTAAGGAACCCACCTTTCAATGCAGGAGACTTAAGAGACATGGGTTTGGTCTCTGGGTTTGGAAGATCCCCTGGATGGGTGCATGGCAACCCACTCCGGTATTCTTGCCTGGAGAATCCCATGGACAGAGGAGCCCAGCGGGCTACAGTGCATGGGGTTGGCAAAAAGCTGGACACAACTCAAGTGACTGAGCACGGGCCCCCTGTTGTTCCTTAGCTTCCTTGGGATCTTTAACATTTCTTGGCAGGAAGGCATGAGCTGAGCTGTAAAGATTCCCTACCTCCTGAATCTGAACTGGGAATACTGAGCATCAGAGGAGGAGGTGAAAAGTATTGAGCTAGGGAAAGATCCATTAAAGATCATAATCAAATGGGTGGCTTGAATAAGCAGAAGCTATGAAACATACTTGAAGGGGAGGAAATTATTTGTTAGAGGAGAAAGTGGCAGAGAGAAGTAAGTTTATGTAAAGAAACTGTGCCATGTGACTAGAGTAACATTAGAATGAAGGTGTATAAAGTCATGAAATTGAGGTCTTTACAGTCACTTTTGACCCAGACTGAATCTCTTAGTTTAGACTGTGAAATAACAATAATGACGTGCAAATTGCTGGAAAGCCTATTTAAGAAAAAAACAAAACAAAACCACAAACACATAAAATTGAGAATAAGAAGAGGTGTATCTAAAAAATTAGGGGTTATGTTTGGAAAATCATTCCCTTCATTCCTTCATTCCCTTCAGTCCTGGTTTCATAGGGTAAAGGCTGATGTTCTGCATCAAGCTAATCATCTATATTAACATAGGCCAAATTACTCTCTGAGTAAAGGGCTCCTGATAGAGATGAATTGGGGATTGAGGCTTGAGTTCAAGCCAGAATGGAATTCCCACTCTGTCCAGTCTGAAATGACTGGTTATAACTCCCAAGGAAAGTAGTGATTGGCAGGCCTACTGCCAAGGTCTATGAGGTATGCTTACCATATTGACCCCAGGAACTTGCTTTGTAGAAACCAGACCTGCTGTGTCCAGGCACAGGAAGGTAGACGGGGAAGCAAGGTGAAAACACAGAGTCAGAGATATACCTACATGACCTTTTTCATGGTGTGACTCTGGATTAATTTAGCCCTGTAGGTATAAGCTTTTCTCCAACCTCACCAATTATCTCTTGAGGGGGGGACCATTTCTATATTTTCCCTTGAGGCATAAAACAGAAGCTAGTATACCTATAATTCCTAGGAAATAAAATCCATGAACCAGAGTTTCCTCTTAATTTAGTACATATAGAGATTTAAAATAAAAGAAACCCCTATGTAGAAAAATTTTGGGGGGATACATTTAAAAGCCTCAACAAAATTATCATATTGACATGGAAAAACAATTAAAATTCACTCAAGAGAGATGGAGGGCTTAACTTAAACAGTAGTCATGACAAAGATGAAAAATGCTTTCAAATAATTAACTCTAAAAAAGGCTCTAAGCCGAGACAGTTTTACAAGCAAGCTCTTTCAATGTTTTAAAGAAACAGAAGTTCCACATTATAGAAACTGCTATAGTACATAAAAACTGGTGAAATTTTTAAAATGCATTTGATGGCCAACTGGACAAAAGTAGTGTGAAAAAACAAAGTCAATAAAATGTTTTACTTGTGAATATAGATGCCAATATCCTAAAATACCCATGAACACATTAAATTCATCCCTGTATGTAAAACACATTATTTTATATAAATAATATAAATATATTGTCTCATATTTTATATGCCCAGTAGATATTATTTCAGGATAGTTTTAGTGATAGTTTTGATGTTGGGAATTGTAAGAACCAAATATATCACAGTAGTTGATTGAATAAGAAAAATCATAGGAGAATGCAACTAAATACTAGATATTTTGATAACATACAACTATTCTTTATAAAAAATTTTTATAAACTAGAAACAGGTGATACTTATTTAATATAATCTATCTTAATGTATGAGTCATTATCATTCTTATTGAAAAATACCAGAGGACTTTCAAATTATAAATAAGACAAGTATACTTACCATGTCACTGTTATTTTATATTGTTCTGAAAAGTCTAGGAAACGAAATAAAACATGAAACAGAAATAAGTAGGATAGTCAGTTGAAAAGAAGAGAAAGACTACTAATTGCAGATATTTTATTGCTCGTTGATAAAATCTGATAAAAATAAATGAAAAAATGATCACTTTGAATAAGTTGTGTGTGCACGTATGTGTGTGTGT